ATTTCACTGCATATCGTACTGTGTATGACTGTGTATGTGACAAATAAAAGTTGAATTTGAATTTGAATTTGATTTGAATTTGAACCAAGGGGGGCGAGGCTGGGCAATGTAACTTTGATTGCTCTGTTGAGGGCGGGGCTCGATGGCGAACCTTTGGCTGCTCTGGTGGGGGGTTTATGGGGGACAAAAAGGGATTGGGCCGGGGGGTAGATCTGAGCCCAGCATTGACCCGCTCCATCATCTCCTCAGTGAATTTCAGGTGTGGCGAGGAGGGAGAAAGGGAGGGGGAGGAGGGTGATGGCCTGTCAGGGGTGTGGAGGACTGGGGAAGGTCGTGGTCCCTGGTCCTGGTCGTTGGTGTTGTTGAGAGAGTTGGAAGCAAATAGGGACCCCTCTTCTTGCCTCTGATGTCTCTCCTTTCTGAAGCTCATCCCAGGTGGGGGCAGATGAGGCTCCTCCTCAAGGTTTCTGCTGGGCTTTGTCTGTTCTTGGAGTACTGTTTGTTCCTCTGTCTGTTGTTTGGACGCATCGTTTGACCCTGTATGCAGAACAATGTTTGTCACAGTTGGATATTCATCTGCAATTTGAAGAATTCTCTCCTTCAGGTTGTTGACCATATCCTTAGGAAAGCAGAGGACTTTAGTGTTCTTACCGCACATCCTTTGTACATCCTTTATGGCAGAGTCAGCCACAATCAGAGTTTCAGGCCTAGCCTTTAGCTTTCCCTGTGGCCTTTTGCTTTTCAACAGATTTTCAGACCTTACTTCACTACTTTTAGATGGATGGTTGTCCGATATAGATCCAGGGTCCTTTGATAGTGGAGCAAATCTGTTCTGCAGTTTCACATTCAGTTGTTTTGGAGGTTTGTTGTTAACCTTCCTATTCACGGCTGTCCAGTCCTGTTTCCTCCCATATACTGGGGTAGAAGAGCTTCTCTGTCTCGTAGGAAGTGAAGGCCAGTCGGTTTCAGAGATTTCAGCTCGCTGTGCTCTGCCTGCGATACGTCCTCCCCCTTCCAGGAGACATGATTTATGTCTTGGTTTTGCACCAAAACAATCCAAGTGGCGATTATCGCTTGAGGATTTATTATAATGCAGAGTCTACTTTCTTGGTCATGTTATCTGTGCTCCTTAGTTGTGTACTAGCTTGCTCATCGCCATTGTTTTGAATCAAAGGCAAGGTTGTTTCATTTCCACACAGTCCATTTACCTCCACGTTTACTTCTAAGCGATGAATTTTTGTCTCCAGTACTGCAATCTTCTGCAGGAGGCTGTGGTAGTCATCTGTGGAGAGGGAAGGCATCTTGTTGCTAGTTAGCCTAGCGGTTAGCACCTTTCCAGGCTATTGAAGCTGTTCGGTGCCCAGATGCTGTAATCAGGCTTCAGCTGTATCTAGGCCACAGACACACGAAGCGCTGAAGATACAGTAAGTATAAAAATGTTGCTGTTTCTGTTAAGAACGCTTTAGTCCTAATGATCTATAAGTGTCCAGAAGCTATCGCAGGTAAGCTCATACGGAAAAAAGGGAAAAAATCAGCATAAAAATCAATAAAAGCAGAAAAGCATTTAAAGAGCAAAGAGAGGAAGCGTCCACACTCACAAAAGGGAGAGGAGCAAGCCTGTGTGGAGGTACAATATGAAGAAATCTGGGGCGGGTCAAGAAATTGCACAGTACTGTATGGAATTACTGCAGTCCAGTCTAATAGAAAAGAAGGCATTTACTGTTCAGTGTCACTCTGACACAGACTGTCTGCAGTGTTGACAATGTGACGCGGATAAAAATAGGCAGAGATTTGCTTAATGTGGGAGTTAAAGGACATTCCCAGGTCACAGACAGTACGAATGGATCAAATGTTACTAGCTTGACAACAGAGAGGGTTACCATCTGACTTCACAGTTTCTTCTGCTCCACAAAGCTTTTTAGTGTCTGTATTCCTATGGCTTACACCTTTTAATGCAAAAAAGAAGCAAAAGCCAAAGCACACAGAGACTTACCTTGGTTAGGTTTTTCTCTGGAATTAGTGGCGTTGGCAACAAGAGTGTAAATATTGGCCATAAACATGTCAAGTGCCAGGTAACAACATCTCAAATGAATACTAATGTTACTGGTAGATGCATGAAAAGGTGATAACACATCAGCCATAACAGCCAGAGAAGGTGATAACATCTTACTGTTATATTTATAGTTTGCATGCCAACCACCAGAAGCCATAAAGACATTTTTCCTTATTTAATACAACAGATGTCATTTGTGAATGATTTAATCAATTGTAAATCCTTTAAAATGTTACAAGTTTCTGAAAAGCTCTTTGAAGTTTATTCAGTACAAACACAGAGTTTAGTTTGAACTGAGAAATTTTCCTATTATTTTTTTTCTTTCCAGCAAATTGAACAACCTCACTCACTACAAGCAGTCACGATTACCTCTCTTTTGTTTTCTTTAACAACTCTGCCCTCCCTGTGATTTTCTTCCTTTATGTGTTTCATGTTTTATTCTTTTAATTAAAGAATTTTTAAAAATCTCTGAGGTGGAAAATTGTCACATAAGAATCTGAAACCTGTGAGTATTGGGCTTTTTTGGAAAGATAAATTACATAAAGCAGCTCTGTTAACAAAAATAAATAGAAATGTTGTAAATTTACAAAATGGTTTATTGGCAACTCCTATCAGCACTTTCAGGACTTCTTTTCCAGTTAAACATGAGGTCAGCATACCTTACTCTGTAGTCTTCACAATGTACAAATTAAATTACAGCTCCTGATTAAAACAGATTACGAGTCCTTGTTATTCTATTACCGTAAGTCTTCCACTAATCCTTCATAACGATGTTGTAATCCCAGTGTTCACAGTGATTGAAATAAAACCGAAATTACTTTGCCAAGCTCTCATAAAGTTTTATTTGCTTTTTGATGTCTACATTTCTGTTTTATCTGTCATGTTCAGCAGTGAGAGACGTGATCATGAGGGTAATGTGGAAGTCCATGGACAAGATGAGGTGCTTCAGGAAACGATCCATCTTCCCTTTCCTCGGCTTTCTCATCGCCTTTCTGCTCTTTTTCAACCATTATATGGATGATGGATATGTGCTGGTAACTTTAATCATGTTGTTGTTTGTTTTGTTTTTTGAAATTTTGACTCTTCTGCCTGAAGTGTTCCTACAGGTGTTACTCTTTGTGTTTGCATGTTTGTGTGTGATTTAGGAGGCTGAAAAAAGACAGCTAGGAGAGACGCTGATCCATCCTCCGAACTCTGAAAGATACGTGCACACGTTCAGAGACTTGTCCAATTTCTCTGGGACCATTAACGTGACATACCGCTACCTTGCGGGGCTTCCTTTACCACGTAAAAGTAGGCATTTCTACCAGATACCAGTTTGAATTCATTTTTACTTCGAACAGGAAAATATTTACTAACTAAACTAACTGTTTTTCACTGTTGGAACAGAGTACCTCACCATTGGCTTGTCGTCGGTCAAAAGGAAAAAGGGAAACTACCTCCTGGAAACGATCAAATCCATATTTGATCAGTCCAGTTACGAGGAACTGAAAGAGATTGTGGTTGTCGTCCATCTGGCGGACTTCGACCTGGTCTGGTGTGAGAACCTGGTGCAGGAAATCACCAGGAAGTTTGCACACCACATCATAGCTGGACGTCTCTTAGTAATCCAAGCTCCAGAGGAGTACTATCCGTCTCTGGACGGATTGAAAAGGAACTACAACGACCCAGAGGACAGGGTCCGTTTCCGCTCCAAGCAGAACGTGGACTACGCTTTCCTGCTCAACTTCTGCACAAACCTCTCCGACTTCTACATGATGTTAGAGGAAGATGTGCGCTGCTCCAGGAACTTCCTGACGGCACTGAAGAAGGTGATCACCTCCAGAGAAGGTTCCTACTGGGTGATGTTGGAATTCTCCAAGCTGGGCTACATCGGGAAGCTGTATCACTCCAGAGACCTGCCGCGCCTGGCTCATTTCCTGCTCATGTTCTACCAGGAAATGCCCTGCGACTGGCTCCTCATCCACTTCAGAGGCCTGCTGGCACAGAAGGACGTGATCCGCTTCAAGCCTTCACTGTTCCAGCACATGGGCTACTACTCCTCTTACAAGGGTGCCGAGAACAAGCTGAAGGACGATGACTTTGAGGAAGACTCCATAGACATTCCCGACAACCCCCCCGCCAGCCTTTACACAAACATCAATGTCTTTGAAAACTATGACGCCACCAAGGCTTACAGCAGTATTGTTGATGAGTATTTTTGGGGGAAACCTCCGTGCACTGGAGACTTCTTCATCATAATCTTTAACAAACCAACAAAAATCACCAGAATTAAAATCCTGACCGGCACAGAGGACAGACAAAATGACATTCTTCACCACGGAGCTCTGGAAGTGGGCCAAAAGTCTGTGGACACCAAACAGGGCAGGCAGTGCACATCCTACATCACACTGGGGGAGTTTAAAGTTGGAAACATTGAGGTTAACAATGTGGACCACAAGATAGGCTTTGATATTGAGTGCGTACGAATTGTCATCACTGCCAGCCAGAAAGAATGGCTCATCATAAGAAGTGTCAGTTTATGGACCGCGCAGCCTGTTGCTCAAATATAGAAATAAAGCTTTTTAAATGATTCTCTGCTCGTGGTGATTTTGAATGCAGATGCTGTGACTTCATTTGGGACTTCTACTGTTTGCTGAATTCAAATCAATCCACATTTTTCTTGGGTTGGCCAGAGATCTGCTGTATGTTTTCATTGTGATGTATTAAATTGACTGATGTGTACAGTATGGAGCTTTTATACTTCTGTTCATTTTCAGAAAATCTGTGTATAAAAATATTCAAACTTGGCTGGTATTATATCTCTTTCATCTTTATCTTTTTTTCAATTAGTGAACCCCAAGGGTTTTTCCACAGAGTCTGTGGTTCAAAAGATAAACTTGTTGCTTACTTTTTAAATCCACAGTGGGGGGCAAAATACACAAGTGTAAAATAAACAAAAACATTTTTATGGCACAAAGACTCATCAGCTACCTTTTTTTAGCATTGTCTAAAAGAAGTGAGCAAGAGCATAGAATAGCTGTTATCTACATCTAATATTAAACACAGTTTTCAAAAACTATAGGGAAGTGTTTTTAAAGCTCATTAAACTATGCGTGATGTGTCGAGTGAGGACTTGTAAGTTCCTGAGATACAGCTGTCTGACAATCTGTTAATGATTTACAAAAAAGAAGGTTCCACCTGCTGTTCAGTGTAAGTACATACCTAAAAAAGAGAAGTCAAGCTGTGTAATACTGTTAAAAAAATATGCAGACGATCATCATGCCTGAATTGAGTAAAAAGAATCTACCACCTGTGTGAGGTTACTCAAACAAATGCAAAATGTACTGGCAAAAAAATTAGATGGGCAAGAAATTTAATTAAATACTATAATATTAACATTAACTACAAGCTCTCGTTTTTGTCATTAGGCAATTTTTGGTGAGTTTTAAACGAATCTGTGAGAGTTGACAAATATGCTCTTTGGAGTACTTTGCTGCCACCTTGTGGTAAATTATAAAAACAACAACGGAAAATATACAGATTACCTATTGACCTAAGAGGTACATATATCATAAAATATGACTAAAATTGTGCATTGAAGGTGTATAGAATGTTATTAATTATAATAATAGTCTATACACTATAGTGTAATTACAAGTAAAATAAAGAGTAACTTTTAAAAATCTTATAACTCTTAACAGGCAGCGCAGAAAGTGAGGCACCTAAATTATAATGTCATAATTTACACCCTCTGTTTCATGCAGCGATATATGTCACAATCTACAAAGCAAGAGTAAACCACAGTTTTTTCCTGAAGAGCAATATCAGAATTATACATAAAGTGTGAAATGTGCCATAGTATGTTTTTTGTATGCGGTACCACGGGCCACACTTTGAGAAACCTGGCTCTATAGTGAAAAAAGCTTAAATGATTAAATATTTATATTTTAACATAATACCATTTTGGAACTTTTTATAGTAAATCTTTGTGTGTGTGTGTGTGTGTGTGTGTGTGTGTGTGTGTTCACAATTTTGCCTGAAGATGCTTCACCATCTGGGAAACTTATGGGACATAATTCTTCTTTCAGGATGAACAGATATGCAAATAAATATTATGCATAGTAAACAGAAAGAATATCATTACGCTGCAGAGGCGCGGGGCTGACTGTAAATAAACAAAGTGCAACCATGTATGAAGCACAGTAAGCCATGAAGAATGTCCCTGCTCTAGTCGGAGAGTGTTACAGGTGTCGTCTGCGCTGCAGCTTCTCCTCTGCGTGAGTCCCCTTCAGGTGTTGTGGTTGCCAGAAATAAACAGATGGCATGATTACTGATGGAGCCAAACACCAAATGAGTTTTCAGCTCACAAGAACTAAGTTCAATGCTTTTCCTTCATTTTTATTCATCCTGTGCACATCCTAAACCTCATTTTCAGCAGCAATCTTCTGGGACTTTCCCCTCATGCTTCGGTTCAGGTGTAAGTGTTTTTTCACCTTTTACTTTGTGATGTCTTCCTCTTGAGGCTTACATTATATTCACTTACATCTGTCCCCAGGTAGCTTCCAGTCTAATGTATTGTCCCTTTCATCCTCTCCTCATCACATTCACTACCTCCTCTTGCTTTTTTTTTTTTAAATCACCTTCTGCCACCCTGACCTCCTACAATCATGTGCAATCCTAATCACTCTCCCATCAGCGTCCCCCTGCACTTTTATGAGAAAGATGACAGAACCACTATTTTTCAACCTTATACCAGACATCTGATCATTAATATTTCTATTTCTTTAATTACTTGGGAATATTAGGACCTGATAAGTTAAAAAAATTGTAAGCATGAATTTATTTGACTGTGCCTGACAATAAAACTTAATTCTGTACGTCAACATGGTTGTCTAGAAATTATAATGTACAGTCATGTGAAACGCTAAGTACACCTTTAATGCTCTGCACTTGATTAACTAATCATCAAGTGTGACAACCTCTGTTAAAACAAAAGCAAATCAGACTGTGCAATGTTCAGAAAAGCTGCAAAAAAACCCAAGAACTACATCTCACTCTATAGGTCTCAGTTAGCATGTAAAATGTTAAAGTTCATGAGAGCAAAATTGGAAAAAGACTGAACAAGTATGGCTAGTTTGGAATCCTTCCCAGAAAGCCTCTTCTCTCTGAAACGAACATAGCAACATGGCGTAGATCTGCAAAGTTACTAATGTAAACAAACAGATGAGACCAACATTTGGCCATAATGCACAGAACCAAACACAGCATATCAGCACAAACAGCTCACACTGACTGTCAAGCACAGTGTTGTCGGAGTGATTGTTTTGTAGCCACAGAGTCTGGCCACCATGCAGTCAACCATGAATGCCTCTGCATGCCAAAGTATTCTAAAATCACATGTGAGGCCGTTTGTTTTGCCCAGACTGGGTCATGCAGGACGAGGATGCAGCTCAGGAGAGCAGATAATCTACTTGTGGGAAGGTTGGTGCTTCAAACTCTGGCTGCTCCAGTCTGCATGCCAAAGTATTCTTGGGCAAAACACTGAACCCTAAATTCCTCTGATGCATTTATTGAATTCAATTCAATTCAATTTTATTTATATGGCACCAAATCACAGCAACAGTCGCCTCAAGGAGCTTTATATTGTAAGGTAGACCCTACAATAATACATATAGAGAAAAAACCCAACAATCAAATGAAATGACTGATTGAGTATGAATGTGCATGAATGTTAGATAGAAAGCCCTTAGGTGTAGAAAAAAGTGCTAGTTTGAATGGGTATGAATGGGTGACATGTTGTATAAAGCGCCTTCAGGGCTAAAGTAGAGCAGAAAAGCACCATATAGAAACCAGTCTGTTTAACAGATACATATACAGCACATCTAAAACAGAATGGCTGAAAAAGAAAAGTCACAGTCCAGACTTAAACCTGATGAAATGTGACATTGAAAGCTTAAGAGAGCTGTGCATATCCAAATACCTGCAAACCTCAATGAACTAAAGCAGTGCGATTGATAAAAGACGTTTTGTATGTCATTCAGTGAACATTATTAGTGGTAATGAGCCCCTCTAGATAAGAGCCAGTAGAGGGCTTATACACCTGCTAGTCAGTCAGAAGGTTTTTATCATCCATTCACATGGAGGACCACTAACAGCAGCACAGGCAGACTCCAGTCCTGCTAAACATTCTCCCGAGACTGTTAATGTGAAAGAGCAACTTGATAAAGCAGATAACTGTTTTGTTTTGAGCATTTCCTTCGCCACCTTTTCACACATTTTCACTAAAAGGATGAGCACACTTTGCCATCATCGCTGACCAAAGTACAATTAATGAGTACAGTGCAGTTGTATTTATATAGCAGTAATTCACCATAACAATCCTCTCAAAGTGTGTTCTATGTTACAGTAAAGATCCTACAGAGAGAACCACAGTGCTCAAGAATCACTACAGTTATTCACAGACTGTATATAGCATGCAGTCTGAGCTCTGATAAAGAAATTTATTCCAGAAAGGATTCACATTATTAGTGCTAAAAGTCATGTGCTCATCAGTCATATGTGTTATTAAACACAAATAAACATGTTTCAATGAATAAACTAAACTATTTTCTTACCTTTATCTCATTGATGAGGACAACATTCACTGTAGATCGCTGACCATATCTGACTCTGTTTAATCTCTGGATAAAAGCACTAAACAGTCAGATTTATAGTGTTTGAAACAACACAATATAATCTAAACAACTTGGATCTAGAAGAACTTTTAAACTTTAATTTTGGTGAGCTGGCTGCTATTTTGACACCTTTTCTCCAAGACAATACTGATGAAGCACAAGAAGAAAATGTGATGCCCTCATGTGCGGGTCTCAGGAGATTAAGAGCATTGATATCTGGCTGGTGTTATTTGTATGTATGAATCTATGCAATATATTTAAAATGACAGTGCAGAAATAACAGTAACATTAAAAATATATTTGGTGCAAACAAAGTCATCTAATCTAACTGTTAAAACCTTTGTATCAGAAAAAACAGACTAGGAAATAAAAAGCACAAGTTTTTTTCATGAATGCTGGATGAAGTTCACTGAAGATGCATAAACAGAATCAGTGGATGATTGATTCTGGTGGCAGCATTCTTATTTTAATGTGTTTTATAAAACACAACTACACGACTTTCTTGGATCTGTATTTTCTTCAGCATAATAAACTGAGGTGGGGAAAAGAAAAACTGTACACCAACAATTTAAAACAAAAACAAAAACAAAAAAACACCCCAAAACAAAACAGATATTAACTAAGAGCAATCAGTTACTTTTCCGTTTCACAATGTCAGAATTTCTGGTATAGCATTCATTCACACAAAGATCTTAATGGATTGTTTTTGGGGCGGGGGGGGTTTACTCCACGATAAGATGGTCCTATATTGTCTGTGAAGGTTCTCAGTCATCCAGGTCATCGTAGTCAAAAGGAGCTTGCAAAGAAAAGCGTCTGGACTTCTTTAAGTTACTTGAAGACGTTTCACCTCTCATCCGAGAGGCTTCTTCAGTTCTAAGGTC